ACTCTTATTAACGCACACACATGTATGTATCCCTAGGAAAGAGAGAGAATGTTTATGCGTGTGTGATGTGTTAATATACGTTATATAGCAAAATCGTATACGCTTTAAAACACCTACGCTGTTTTTCAACGTTCTCTTTTCTGACGAAAACATTATCGTACATTATTACGTATCTACATCGCAATGGCTAAGATCTTTCTCGGTACGACCTGTGATCTTAAATGCGCGTTTTAAAAGCACCATTCTGAATCACCTATTGTACTCGTCGTCTTATATAGGCGTGTAACGACGTCGTTAAATTTTCCACTTACATGTTATATCCTACTCCTTCACGTGATCGTTTTTAAAAAAACAATATATTAAATTCTACGAAGTACCAATCGTTTTAATATTCCGTATTCGGGTTAAATCCATTTTAACGGGAGTCGATGGAGTTTTATTTTCATTTCTGCAACGTTATTTCGTTTGCGTGTCTTAAACAAATAATTGAACCTTAATATTTAGTGTGGGAGGGAACGGGGAAGGAAAAGACGAATTAATTTCATTAAAAATTGTCGCTTAAAATGGTCATTTAGAAAAAGAAGAAAAGGGAAAAAAAAAAAAGAATTTATTGTTATACGCGTACTTTACGTTATCGCAGTTAAATCCCACTTTTTACGAAAGTATTCAAATTATAATATCCCTTTTCAAAATCAAATTACGTTTGATGAAAAAATATCCGGTGAACTTTTTCCGTAACATTTTCCATTAAAAAAAAATCCCCGATTATTAAAACGCGATATTATTTATAACGCGTTTAAAAAGGATGAACGGGGTGGAGGAAAAAAGGAAAAAGAAATTCAAGAATTATAGGCAATCGTGTTTCGAATTTAATAATCGCGTTTTTTCTCCTTCCCAAAGTGTGTTCCAGATCTCCCTTGCCAAGCTTTCTCTCTCTCTCTCTCTCTTTTTCTCTCCAGTTCCCAGGGGTGACCTAGTTCCATTTATCCCCTCGCAATCCTGACGCAACCTGCCTGGTGAACCTCCAACAGTGGTTCGTGTGTCCATAGACCTACGTGAAATTACCAGGCTTGCCAGATGGAGCTTGTCCGATCTTTTTCTCTCTCTCTCTCTCTCTCTCTCTCTCTCTCTCTCTCTCTCTCTCTCTCTCTCTCCCTCTCTCACGTCTTTCCCCAATTCCCTCCCCTTGCGGCTCGTTCTCTCCAGCACTCGTTCGCGTACCCTTGTCAAGAACACTCCTGGGGAAAGGTCAGACAGTCAGAGGCCAACCTACGTAAAATTAGGTCAACCCCTGTCGAGCAAACCAGCGCTTTCTCCCCACTTCTCCTAACTCGTTCGTTCGCGTTCGTTCGTTTGTTCGTTCGTTCTTTCTCTCTCACTCTTTACGAGGAAGAGTCCAACACGTTTCTCTCACACGTAGATACACACGCGTACACACACACACACATACATACATACATACATTTTTTACTTTTTCTCTTTACCTGGTGTTATCGGCGCTGATGTTACTTTAGTGGTGTTGGTGATCTGCTGCGTTTCTGAAGTTCGACTGTGCCGATTGGCAGGAAGTGAGCTCGCCGAGGACGGATGAAATCATCTGGAAAAAGAGGCGAGGCAGGTTTCGTTTTTCTTTCCATATTAAGAAAATCATCGTCATCGATCGATCCTTCTTCTTCTTCTTCATCTTCTTCTTCATCTTTTTTTAATCATCGTTTTCATCGTTATCGTCCTCGTTATACACTTCTCGTCTCGTCTCGTCTCGTTTTCTGGTAAATGCATTATCGTTTGATCAATGTCTTCTAAGTTTATATAGTATCTCTATTTTGTATTACCTTTAAGATTATCTTTTAATGAAACTACCTTTCGGATGTAATTAAAGTTGTTGGATCTTTGGAATATTAAAAGAGGATCGATGAATTTTTTTAGAAAATGCTAATTGCTATTACAACGAAACTAATATGATGAATTATTCTACGTATTAGAATTTCTGTTAGGATGTTTCTTTTCTTTTTTTTTTTGTATCATTGCATATTCGTTATTGTTTTTATTTCCATTGTTTGATTGATTATTAGACACAATCATCATTATCATTAGTTAATGGATACTTTAATTTTAATTGCGTAGAAATGTTTGCGTGTGCGTTGGTGGTATGAGTTATTAGAGATTGACTCGTACGTGAAATATTCAACTATTTATCTACTAACGATCGAAGTTCTAGGAAATGGAAAGATAGGTGGAAATATGAGGATGAGGATGGTATAGGGATGGAAGTGGGAATGGCATACACTGACGTCATTGCTCACGCATATCACCATAAAAACACCCATACGATTAAAGTCGATAAAAAAAAAAGATAAACTAATTCGCACTCCGTCCAAGGATTCCTCCTCTAATTCTGTAGTCTCCGATAAAACGTATATTTCATTTCAAAATCGATGAAAATGAATCATTTTCAACAAATTCCTATATCTTACGATAATGTGACATTATATTATCTCAAAGAATGGCATATTTCATTAAGTAAAACACTTTACACGTTTGTACACCTGTTCATACAACAAATACCTATAGAGATAACATAAATGATTAAAATTTTTGCAATGGAAACATTCATATATTTGACTAATCCTTGAAATTGCTTTGTTTTATAATTAAACACATTTTAAGCTTTTCGTTAAGCCAATAGGTTTAATTGTTTTTAAAAATGCATTTGCACTAATGAACAGCATCTGAATTATAAATATCATCATCATAATCATTGTTGTTGTTATTATTATGTTTTCTTCGTTTTTTCCGTATACGAGCTTAAGTAGAAAACCGTGACATTGACATGCAGGTGCATATTTGCGTGTGTCTGCTCTGCTACGTGTGTGTGTGTGTGTGTGTGTGTGTGTGTAGTAGTTAAAGACCTTTTAACGTAACCTGGCTGGCGTTTCCATAGAACATCAACTACACGCCTTTAAATACGCTTTTATACTACACCAACAACGAGTACGCGCGCGACGTCAGAAACATCAACGAGGCCACGCCGAGGGCCACGTGTTGCGCTTCTTCTCACCCTCGTTTTTCTTCTTTCTCTCTCTCTCTCTCTCTCTCTCTCTCTCTCTCTCTCTCTCTCTCTCTTTCATTCTTTTTTTCTTTCTTATATTTTTTATTACACGGTTATATTCCCACAGGAGTAGAAAATTTGTTGGCTGATTGATCTGTTTTCAAGGCCGACTTTTGTTTCATTAATTACTCGAAATGTTAATAATATATTTTATTAACTAATAATACGATTATAGGAAATTTATGGTATTAATTTCTTGAGGGAATGCGAATGTTATATTCTAAAATTAACAAATTTTTTTGGTATTTGCCTTTCTTCTCTCTCACACACACACTTACTCTTTCACTTTCTCTTTTTTTAGCAACTGCACACGACACAGTTGTCACCAAGCCAAATTCGGATATCTTTAACCTAGAGAGAGAGAGAGAGAGAGAGAGAAAGTATGTGTGTGTTATGTATGTGCGTTCCAAGATAAATCTTATATTTTATCTAGATAATTAACAAAAGTTAATATTCATTAAAATTTAGGGGTAATAATTGACAAACTCGAAATATTTTATTTATATTATCCAATTTTCTCTTTGATGGTACATATTATGCGTGTTTCATTTATTTAAATGATATATATTTTATAATTGATAAAAAATTCTTATATTGACGTTCATATTGAAACATACGATATATATATATAAATACGTTTATAAACAAGAATCCATTATTTTTGATCTTTAACGTCACAGAAATGAATTATTTACTCATCGAAATACATCTCTCTTTCTCTCTCTCTTTATCTCTCTCTCTCTCGCCAAAAATAACATCCTGCAAAAAAGGAACACCTATGTATATGCAATCGTTTAAACGCGGAAAAAGCGATTCGTTTCCTGTTTTTTACACAGAAAAAAAAAACAGACAGAAATATACACATATACACACACAACTAACGTTCAAAGACTTCATCATCGTTTATGATCATCCTCATCGTCCATATCTCTTTCTTTCTGTCTGCTGTCTATCCCACACTCTCTCTCTCTCTCTCTCTCTCACTCTCTCTCCCTCTACCTCTCTTTCAAATTACATAATCCTGACGAAGTATCGCGTTTGATGGTGGTGGTCACTCGGGTCGGCCATTATGCGAACAAGCCGCGTGTAAGCTCTTTCTCTCTCTCTCTCTGTCTCTCTGTCCACACAGCATACATACACAGACAGAGACTAGTCCTCTAGTACTCATGGTATACTCTGGAAGGGTTCTCGACGATAATCGACTCGGTGGCCAATGGTAGTTATGTGCTGGTGGTAGTAAAGTAGTAGTGGGTGACTCAAACTATGCAAATGGTCGGACTAAAGTCACGTATTTCAGCGTGATAGTATTAGTAGGAACGTCAAAAGCGTTAAGAGAGAAGAAGGAAGGGGCTTTGAGGAGCGTTGAGGGTGGGATGAGATTGTTGGTAGTGGTGGTGGTAGTGGTAGTAGTGGGAAGAAGGGTTGGTATATACCAGGTAAGGGGCAGTTAGTGGTGCACGTCGGACCATTCCGTAGTGGGGATAAAGCGAACAGAATAGTGGGGAGTTAGAACATAACACACACACACATACATTGACAACTATTATAGTAGAAAGATACAATCATAGACACACGAACACACTTGCGCACTAGAAGAGTAATCCGGCAGAGACGAGAAGACGACACGCAGTGACGCGCAGGTGCGGATTATCTCCCTCTCTCTTTCTCTCTCTCTCTCGCACATACTCATTCGATACGTTTCTTATTTCCGTCTATTCCGTAGCGAATGACAAGGTCTACGCGCACGTTACGATAATGCGTGTGTGTTTTGAGAGTGTGTGCGCGCGGCCAGTGGTAACGAAGAGGAAGGGCAACCAGCCGAGTCTCACCCCGTGTCCTCCTCATCCTCCATCTGCCACGCGAATCTACTCTTTTTCCTCCACCACCTCCTCCTCCTCCTCCTCCTTTTTTTGCAGCCGTGCTACTGCTGCTCTATTACCACCTTCGCGTTCCTTGTCTCTTCTTCGTCGTCGTCCTCGCCTAGAAATGTCGGTCGCGAGAATGTAAACTTTTTCGTCACCTCGCGAGTGTGTTCGTGTGTCTGTGTGTTTTTTTAATTTTATCTGTGTAGTACGTCTGTCTCCCTCTCTTTCTCCTCCCCCCTTTGGATTTTTTTCCCTTTTTCATCTTTCAAATGTTTGCGTATGCCTACACCTCTGTAAACTCTTCCTTGACGTTGTTCTGCATGCACTTACGTGACACACATATGTTTGTGTGTATGTGTGTGTATGTATGTATGTATGTATGTTTTATATTTTCGTCTATCCAACCTCTTTCTCTCTTTCTATCTTTTTCTGTGTATTTATAACAAGAGGTTGTGGAAGAGAAGAGAACGAGACGTTGCAGCCAAGTTTAAAACTACTTCCACGGAGACGGACACCTGGCCAAAATGAAACGAGAACTCAAATACTCGAGTCGATTTTTTTGTTTTTTTTTTTTTTTACTTTTTTATCATTTGTCATTCCTTATTTTTTTGTTTCCTTTCTTCTTGTTCGTCTTCTTTACTCTTTTTATTTTTTATTTAGTTTTTTTTTTTCTTATTTTTGTTTTTTTAATCTTTTTATCTCTTGACAAATTTTCTCAATCAAAATTTCTTCTCTCAATTTTTTTTTTTTCTTTTCTTTTCTTTTCTTTTTATTGCGAAATTAACCCTCAATCCCAATACTCTCTTTCTCATCTAGAAACACCCACCGACCTCCCACGTAGATCGGAACGATAATCCACGTCGCTTTTTTACATCAGTGAATAACGACAAGAGCCACTCGGAATGCAGGTGACGTTGCTTATGGCATACAACACAAACGGCTGAATGGTTAATTAAGAAAACTTTTCTACGATGTTCCATTTAATATTTCTACATAATCATGTACGATGGTGATTCTGTGACTAATGATTTACCAATAAGATATGCTTCAAAAAAAAATGAGTTTCTGGGGGGTTTTTTTTTTTATAGGGAAAAAATATTATATAAATTGTTATAATCGATTAAGTGATCGAATTTCAATGTTAAATAATCGTCGATAAATCGAATCACTCTCGTACATACGAAAATACTCATTTACTTTTGTTCTTTTTGCTTGACGTAATTATATGGAAAAAAAAAATTAAAGGTTAATGAGAAAAGTTCACGATTGCTATGCGTTTACATTCGTATTGTCTTAATTACGAAATAACGTTAATATATCATAGTTTCCAAAGCTTCGTTGTATAATCAAAGGTATCATTGTTCAAAGTTTTTTTATAATCGATTCGGGGTTACGATGAACTCTTTTTGTTTTCTCTCGATAATTATCATTCATTATAAATGCTGACTAAGAAGGTTATCATGGGAGGAGTTGAAAGAAAAAAGAATAAAATAGAAAGAAAAAAAATGTAATGAGAGATATTAAAACGTTGATCTTCCGATATCTCTGACGAATTATCGATCGATTATTTCTCTGTACCTATAACGAGACGTAATTAATAGTAGTAGGTAGTGGGTCGTTAAGAAAATAAATCAAATAAAATAATATGACGAGAAGAAAAATAAAAATGTACAATAGGTAGATTCGCTGTATAAATAAACGTTGATAAGAAATTTAATTCGTTATGAAGGTCTGTTATTTTTTTTTCTTTTTTTTTTTTTTTTTTTCTATCAAGATAATTTTCTTAATTTATATAAAATAAATCAAATAAAATAATATGACGAGAAGAAAAATAAAAATGTACAATAGGTAGATTCGCTGTATAAATAAACGTTGATAAGAAATTTAATNTTTTTTTTTTTTTTTTTTCTATCAAGATAATTTTCTTAATTTATATTCGTTAAATTTAAAAAATTATAATAACACATTTAATATATATTTTGTTTAATCATTCGACACACACTACTCGAGATCTTCGGATGCGATTCGATAATAGAAAGTTTGAAAAAATTCTCGCAATCGATTGGCTCTTTTTCGTCCAATCATCCACCCTATTACAAAACTTTCAACTATCCAAATATTTTCTCAAAGTAAACACGCGCAAAATTTCCTACTGCATTTCTTCAATCAAAATATCATAAAATAACAAAATAATATAAGAATCCAGAACAAAAATGAAAAGAAATAAAATGTGAAATACAAAATAAGGAAGGAAACAATAAATAGAAAAACGAAGGAATTAATAAATAATAATTGAAAATAAATTGGTATCCAAGAAGAGAGAAAATTGAATTGAAATATTAATCCTGGGCTTTTTCGCAAGCTTGCTTGCCCTACCTCACTTCTCACCCCTCACCCTTCTCTCTCTTTCTCTCTTTCTCTCTCTCAACCCCTTTGGCATAGATCAAAAATACGAGGCAATCGGGCCGAGTTTGTAGAGTACCAGAACGAGGTTTCTTCTTCTTTTTTGTTCGCATATGTAATACATACACACACACAAATACAAATATTAGAGGTAGAACAAAAATATATTAGATATATGCATGAGTTTTAAAGAGATCCTCTCCGATTCGAGATTATGTGTGTTGCTTTTATGTATGTATGTGTTTGTGTATGTTGACGATGATGGCCCAGAGCCACGCAACTTGGCACAGCTTTTTCGGCCAATGCGTTGTGTAACAACGCAAACTAATTTTCGTTTCTCTCGTCTCTCTCTCTCTCTCTCTCTTTGAGAGATAATATATATATATATGTGTGTGTGTATGTGTTTATATATGTATTTGTGTCCCTTTAAGAAAGAGTGAGCGAGAAAGAAACATCAGGCAAGCGCAAGATCGAAGCTTTCAGTTGCGTTCGCCTTCTAGTTCGTCCCGCGACTTCGCCGAGAAGGCAACACGCATTGTGTTTTAATTCGATCAATCGAAACGCGTTTAACTTTCGAAAATTATTTTGAACATAATAAGTAGACATTCGTATTGTTGTTTCTATCCTAAGTCGGTTACTCGAACTATTTGGTTACATTTTTTTTTCTCTTTTTCTTATTATTTTATTTCATTTTATTTTATTTTTTAGTGAGATTGAAATGTATAAACCCAGGAGTATCGAAATTACAATCGTTTATCTCATTTTATTTTTATTTCAATATTTCTTTATTTTAATCAAAATTATAATTGTTCATATTTTGATCCTAAAGAATCCTTAGAATCTAGGAATTCGTTCGAATGAAGTTTCATGATTAAACAAAAAAAAAAAAAAAAAGAAATATGTATCGAGAAGATGATAACAATAATTACTATAATCGATCGTGAACTATTTTCACGTACTCTTCAAATATTCATCTGATTTCATTCCGATAAAAATTAACATCGACACGACGTTTAATGTCATTAAATATTTTATAATCCAAATGTTTGGTATTACAAAGGATTGGAAAAAAAAAGTAGATACGTGTATTCGATTAGGACAACAATAATTATCGACAATATTGATACCGTTAATATTTTATTCTTGAAATGTTTGGAAATTGAAAAGGGTGGGAGGAAAAAATTCATAAAAATGGAGGAAAAAAGAAAAGAACAACGTGTATTCGACTACAAAGAACTATACTTCGAGGAGAGAGAGGTTTATGTCATTAATTTCACTCGTCGGAAGATCGTGAACACGCGATGTGTATCAACGTCGGAAGGCAGAATCGATCGTTAAGCTCGTTTAGCCGCAAAGTGGTCCAATTACAAGCGTTACCGCCATGTGTGTGTGTGTGTATGTGCGTTTGTGTGCGCGTATATTAGAGCTTTACACGATCTAAAAAGGGTGCCGATGATGATGATGATGACAACGACGACGACGACGATGATGATGATAGTCATGCATTACCAATATTTCCCACGTGCTACGTCTCGCGATTGATTATCTTTAATAATATTACAAAAAGGAAACATTAAATAATAATAATAATAATAATAATAATATAACGTATATCAGTTTCGTTAATACACAGGGGATAATGAATCAATTAATCGCGTAGATTTATATCGTTATCTCATTTCTAAAATAATTAACGAAAGATTTTTATTCTAATAGGAATAGAAACAAGAAAAATAGGAATACGTTCGTAGTATAACAAATTCGATCGGCCTTGATCGTTCGTCGTGAATCGTCATAAAAAAAAAAACAAATTAAAATAGTTAGGAATAATAATAGCGATCAAATGGTATACTTTATATATATATATATATATATTGGTTGCTGGATAAAATAGTTTTCTGCTAAGAAGTAGAAGTAGTAAAAGTAGTCAAAGAGAGAGAGAGAGAGAGACGTGGTTTTTGGATCAAAGCCAAAGGGGTTTCGAAGAGATATATATATATATATATATATATATATCTCTCTCTCATAAACACACACACATTCTTCCTCTTGATCCCGATTTTAGCGACTCGATTTGCCATCCTCGTCGTCGATTTCGTCGTAGTTGGCACGGAAACGATACCACTAAGAGGGACAATAAATCTAGAAATAAATAAAGAATGAAAGAAAGAAAGAGACAGAGAGAGAGAGAGAGAGAATTGTTTCTTTTTCTAGTAAATAAAAGAAAAATAAAAGAAAAATGAAAGTAAATAAAAAAAAAAAAGGAAAAAGAATAGAATTTCAACGATCAACAAGATTTTCCCTTTCCCCAAATATTATCTTATATATTTTTGATCTTGAAAAATGATTATCATTTTCTTTGGATTCTTTGAGAAACGTTTAAGTGTAAGATATATACGTGTGCGTGTTGCAGTAGTGTGTGTCTAGTATTGTGCAATTGCTCGAAGCGTGCGCGCTACGTATGCACATGCACATACGTAATACTTCTCTCACTCTCTCTTTCTCACGTTTTCTCTCACTCTAGTAGCCTGGTGTCGTTTGTTCTAACTTTTCCTCCAGCTTAAATAGAGTCTCTAGTCAGTCGACTAACGATATGGTCTCTTAGTCGTTTACCACTCCTCGTAGATTACGCGTATATTCGCGATATTATATCTCGTCCAATTGAATTAAACAATATGTTTATTAGTGTCTTATATAATCAATATCACGAGTAATTTATAATCATAATTGTTGATCATTCATAATTCATTATTAATAATAATAACAATAATAATAGAAGTTGTAGTAGTGATGGTAGTGGTGGTGGTTGGTGGTGGTTGGTGGGTGATGGGTGGTGAATGAAAAACATACGTACATATAATACACGTGCAAACACGTGTATACACACACACACACACACATATGCATCCTCGTGTATAAAATAATCAAAGGAAGAGATCATTTTTCTTCTTACAATTAGAATCGATCGTGCATGTACGCGATCACGCGATTACGAATCATCATCATCATCATCACCATCACCATCATCATGATCGTCGTCGTGTTGTTGTTGCTAATGTGTTCTTATGTTCTTATGTGTTGTTGTCGTCGTCGTCGTCGTCGTCGTCGTCGTCGTCGTTGGGAGCGGCTTAATTCTTTTTATATCTCCGCAGTATTTCCATTCGAAAATATAACTTGTTCTTTACCTCATGTTCTTTTTTTTTTTTTCTTTTTATATCAGCTCATTATTAATTATGATAAGCATTATCACGTACATTGCTATATGAGTTAATTACAGTATTGGTTTTTTCTTTTTTGAATATATAATTATACGTAAAGATATTTACATTCATATTTTCGTACGTTCTTCCTATCTTTGTCGATGATGTTCGTAGTTTATTTTGCATTTAATTTATTTCGATTATCAATTATTTCTAAATATAAGTTTTAAACGTTCGCGAGTTATGGTAATAAAATTGCGAATGAGATTGAAGTATATAAATCGTCTTTGCTTATCGATTAAAAAGTTGATCGAAAATAAGATACGTTGTAAAATTTTTGTAATTCTTGATAATAAATAGATGCCATTTTATGTTCGTTTTTTTTTTCAAATGAAAAATCCATTAAACGAAAGTGGAATGTTACGTTTCTTTCTTTTTTTTTTTTTTATTTATTCGAGATTTTTTTTTTCTAGAAAGATTTAAATTTATTGATGTAGAAACTTTGAGTTTAAAAAACAAACAAATAATAAAGTTTTCAACGTAATTGACGATGATTGGGAGTTATCGGGAAAATATGTTTTTAGAATTTTTCTATGGCGTAGAAAGTGACGTAATAATTGTTGTTATTCTTCGATCGATCGACCCATCGATCATGGTCGTATTGGATTTATATTTTCGAATGAACGTTCGAACATCTCATACGAGAAAGAAATGATTTTATCATATAAAACATGTGCTGCTCGTGTACGTGTTCTCTTGTCATTTATTTTTCTTACTTTATACGTATGTGTTTGTGATTGTGTGTGCATCTGTGTGTATGTATTCACATTAAAGAATAACATTTACATTTTTGCATAAAAACACGCATCACTCGAAATTTCGAATTAACCTTTTTAACTTGAGTTCGATTGTACGTTCGCTGGATCAATACATTTTTGTTTTAATACGCATTTTATTTTGTCATTTATTTATTTATCTGCACACAATATACTTCGTTATTTTAATTTTTATTATAATAACATGCAAATAAATGCAAGCATGACTAATTAATATATAAAGTTAGTTTATTCATTAAGAGTTCAACCTCAAAGGTGTCGTGGCAATGTTTGAATACAAAATTCTTGTTTCTTCGAAGCCACCGCTGTGCCCAGTCATTCCAACTAAATCCAGTTGTATATATAATAATTGATTTGTTTTCTTTCCTCTTTCTGTTTTGTTCCTTTCATTTAAAATTATAATAAACAAAACGATTAAAATCTCTCGAAAGAAGTTTTTTTTTAAAATATTACATCGAATTAAAACTCGTAATCGATAAAAAAAAGAAATAGAAATAGAAAATATATATAGAATGCGATCAGAATATTGAATACAATTGTATAGCAATGTCACGCCGGATGTATTACACTTAGTTACGTAAAGTTTGACGACGATTTATACAGAAAAAGTGAGAGAAAAAGAGAAAGAGAAAGAGAAATAATTAAAGAAAAAATTTTTATTGTCTCATATCGAAAAAATATTATTACCATTATCTCAAATATTTAACTCGTACTTTTTCATTTGACCATAACATTTTCTTCTGTGTTTGAAGGTAGTAATTGTGTAACAATTTCAACAATGAATGCGCATCAATTGGATCGCGACGCTTAGAATGTAAAATGCGTCTCGTCATCATCATCATCTTCTTCTTCTTCTTCTTCTTCTTCTTCTTCATCTTCTTCGTTATCATCATCATTTTTTCTTTTTTGTCGACATTGATAGATTATTTTCTTAAATGATACAAGGCAACGTTTGTACGAACCAAACTCGATCGTTATTTTTATTACAACTTTTATTATTTCATTGAAATATCATAAGAAAATATATTGCTATTTGATTCTATGCATGTGTCGTGTATAGATGTCAGGTGTGCGTGCGTTTGTAGGCGTGTGTGTGTTTGTGTGTGTATGGATGAGTATACGTATAGTTGATGATGATGATGCATGGTCCAAGGTCGTGAACATGATTGTGTAATCGTGTTACACCGCGGAACTGCCAACTCGAATTCCATAAGTAGCGGTTTTTCGATTCGTAGATTATTATTAAAAAACAATACGTTTTTTTTGTCGAAGCTCAAGACTTTTCAACCCATCCTCGTGTGTATATATTTAAATATTCTTTTTTCTATTACGAGAGAAATATTTATGTAATTTGTCGTAAGGGAAATCACGGCAAGATACAAATACATAATTACATATTACATATTTATGTTAATATGAGTTCTAAAAGATAAACATATATCTAATAGAAACAGTTGAATGTGTTCACTTTGGTCGGGATCCAGCTTATTAAAAAAATTCTGGCAAGTTCTCTTAGCAAAATGTGCCCTATCTCTCTTCTCTCTCTCTCTCTTTCTTTCTGTCTATAGTTTGTGTTTATGCAACCGATTCGAGAGAATTGCATTTACGTCAGTCTCGTAAGTACGTATCGCGAATTAGACCATCGCACGGTGTGATGATACTTTTTAGATGAATAAATTTTCCATAGGAAAAACGAATTCGAACAAGTTTTCGAAGTGTTTAAACGATCGCATTACAAAAATATCTTTTCTTGGCAACTACGAGAAATTTCCAATAAGGAAAAATCATTTTGCTCTTGTACATTTATTTTCTTTGTAAAGAATTTGGATTTGTACGAAGAGTTGTCTCCCTAAATGTTCTAAAAAAGAAAGAAAGAAAGAAATAAATAAATAAAAAGAGAAAGAGAGAGAAAGAAGGAGAAACAAGCCAATGCGAATACGTTTTGTCGTCTAGGTATTCAAGGAGAGTTAGTTTAGTTGCGATTATTATTAGAACGTCGTCTTCTTGTTACAAGCTTTGTCGAGAGAGAAAGAGAGAGAGAGAGAGAGAGAGAGAGAGAGAGAGAAAGAGTGAGTGAGTGAGTGAGTAAAATAGCACCAGCTGACACCATTTCGGTACACAAATTGTCTTCTCGAGCTTTTGTTGCAACCTACCGTGCAACATTCGTGAAACCACATATATTTGACAACAAAATAAACTAACCCCCAATAATTTATAATTCATACAAAAGTAGGATAAAACAAAAAAGATAAAAAATATTTGAGATTCTAATGGTGGGGGTGGGGGGAGGGTTAGATGGTTAGAAAGGGTAGGAAAAATAACAGGTGAGAAATTAAATATGATTGATTGGGATAGAAGAATGGCGAAAAAGAAATGAATTTTGAGAGAGAGAGAGAGACGACAGAGAGAAAAGAAAAGAAAAAGAGCACAAACAAACGGAAGCGAGAGAGCGAATAAGAGAATTAACAGGGCAGTTGGGGCTCGTGCCAGATGCGCGTTTACACGGGCCCTGAATACTGTAAATGCACTATCTGGTACGACATCTCTCCTGTCGCCGCCACCATTGATGTTCCTCGACGTCGATGCTGCTCCGTTCGATTCGCACTTTGACAAAATATTAAAAAAGTGTACGAGAACAAAAAAAAAATCTACTAAGAGAATAATAAAAAAAAAAAGATATCGATCTTTTTTTCTTTTTTCTACTTTTTGTTTTCTTTTTTTTTTTCTTTCTAATCTTTTTTAACAACGTCCGTTTTCGATTCGTGATTCATTATTTTCGAATAAATGATTTGCTCGAATCCAAATATCGTTTGAATTTTTCGCGGCAATTTGACGATAGGTGCGCGCGCAATTCTTGCGCGACGCGCGAATAATTCGACAAATTAATTTTGCTATGCTGCGGTGTTGTTCATTTTATTATTTAATATATTATCAATGCAATCTCTGATTTTCTTTTGGTAATATTATTATCATTATTATTGTGATACTTGAATACCCGTATAGTTTTAGTTTTAATAGTAAGTTGTAGTAGTATAGTTAAAAGTTAATCGATCCTTTCAATTCGCTACATTATTTTGTGCATGTTTATCGCTTTTTATACAAATCTTATTATTTAATTATATCTCATTGATGTATAGAATGCGATTATTTCAATCAAAATAATCATCGATCAAATCGTAGCTTCTTTTGTGGCATGTAAAATCAAATTGATCATTGTCACACATCGCTATTCATTTTCATTCTATTTATCTATAAAGCACGAATTTGACGAAGTATTATTTTTCAAATGACAACATTTCCACGATCTGATTATCGATAATAATATATTTTTTAATTGTATCATAATATATATATATAATTTATATGCATACGAATAGCAAAAGAAATGTTTGAAAAAACAATATTAAGTTCGATTAAATGAAATTAATTTCATTAAATTTAAAAACAAAAATCTGCAAATATTTATTGTAGAAATATTGCGAGGAGGATCTGTAGTTTCATACCAAAAAGAAAATATACAAAATTAAAGAGAATAATATAGTCAACGAACGATGATAATGATGATGACGATGATGAAGAATCGAAAATCGAAGATTAATAATGAAGTTCGGAACGTGAACGTGATGAACAACGAGGACAGAGACTGCGTGTACATCTTGATTCGAGTCTTTGACCTCGTACGATTCATCCTAATGAAGACTCAACCCCTTCAACGACAACATATTATTATCACCGGCTAATCACGAGCATCGCAGCACTATCAATATCTTCTTCTATCAACAACTACTTCTTCTTCTTCTTTTTCTTTTATTTCTTCGTAATGAATCTTCTCGATGATTATTAAATTTATTATAAGTTTATATATTTTCTAATTGTATATATATATATATATATAAATAGTTTCAATTGTAAATTGTGTAATTATATATTTGAAGATTGATATATAGCTATAGATTTATATTAATTATAATAATTAGATGTTACTGTATATCTCGTTATATTTTCATTTTAAAAAAAATGTCGTAAAATCATTATCTCACATCTTTTACGTTAATTGTCGTCATTGTTCTTGATTTTAAACGATAAGAATACAAACGTCGATATTATTGTATTCAAATAATAAAAATCATACCACTCACTGATCACAATTCATTTCACGTCTCGTCTCTATTAAAAACACTTAACGCGAGTTAATCGAATATTTTCTTTTCAAATGTTATTTCTAATTAAATATATAATAGATAAACTTGAACTTTAATTATTTTATTTTATTCGTAAATAATTTAACATTAATTGACATGCTGAATGTGTGTTCAATATACAAGAAACTTTTGATTTGAAATGTTTCCAAAAATTTCTTTCATGGGAAAAATACAATTAAGAAAAATAGTATATCGATTTATGTTAAATTACATCAACGTGTTAATTTGAAAGATTCATAAAATAATTTTCCAAGCGTTTGATTTTTCAATTTCTTTAAACAAAAAAATATCGAATCATTGAATATTTCTATTACTTTTCATAATCATTATCTCTATTATTTTATTATTTTATTTTGTTTATATAATTTTTATAAAAAATAAAAAATGTGTAAAATATTATATATTATAATAATAAGTGGTGGCAGAGAGAGAGAGAAAAAAATTACAAATGACGCGAATATCGCAATGCAGCATCGGCGATGGGAACAACTTGAATTCTATCAACTGAAAGAAACATAGGAGAGGATACTTTGAAAAATATTTTGATTAAAAATAATTGGCCCTTAAAATGGCGAAGATCAGACACGAAAGGAACACGCATTTTCAGAAATTCATGAGAACAAGATCGTTCAATAAGGAAAATGTCTTTTTTTCGGGATTATTTTTTCGTTTCTAATGCAAATCCATCGTCATATTTTTCTGTTTATTATTTAATACGAATAAATTTCACTATTCAATTAAATCATTTTTTATTACTCTATACTATATCTTCTCTTTCACTATCATAAACTCCCTGACATACTATACGTATAGTATTGTCAAATTAGTTTTAAATTAATTTACGATCATTGCGTGTCCAGGAATTTTTTAGTTTTGCGACCCAACATTGGTTTGATCAATAAATATTCATTTTAATATATAATATTTGTATTATCGATCATATATATGATACTGTATATAATATAGATGATCCTATCACGCGAATATAATCGTATATAATAATCGTTGTAGAAAAAGGGCACATAAGGACGACATTTGTCGTTATCGAAGAGGAAATGGTGCGGACGTAATCTTTAATGGATAGAGTTCTGTTTTACGACTATATCGACGAAGGTCGTTGTTAAGCGTAGAATATAATAAACGCCACCATCATCGTAACGTTTTATATTTTTCTTTTTTATTATCCATCATAATAATACTCTTCTACTTTATTCTCTCTGTTGGTTTAATTCACCAAGTAATTGTTTAAATAACGCGTTAAATGAAAATCGTTATTTTTAAATTTATAATACAATTCTAATTTCGATTGGCGAATTATTTCTCGAAGAAATTTAAAACCGTGCCAAATGCGCGGCGGCAAATTTGTCACCCAATTGGAAAGTAAATAAGTAGTAGTCGTGTCCCAACTGTGTGCAGCCATTTTAAGGTTAAGGTCCACACAAAAGAAGGAGATAGACATTGCAAAATTCGATGCATCCGAATATTTATCTAACCTAACCTTTCTTCTTCTTCTTTTTTTAACCCTCCCAGCTTTGTTTGATCTTGTTCCAGGTAAATGTTAGGAGAGACAAAGAAAAAAATAGATTATTTGAGTGATTGAGAGAGTATATATGTGTATACACTTATGTGTATTTTTTTATTGGTTTGTATGTATATGTAAATATAGAAGTCTCTTTTTTAAACAACATAAATGTATACATACATACATACATAAGTATATATGCCATGTATATACCGATTATGTAACGAATGTTAAGAATCATTTCGATTATTGCGTTCGTACAATTATATGACCGAACGAACAGAGATCGTTATTACTTAACCTTTTTGACGCATGAATTGAGGTTAATTACAGAGTAAAACAATTTTCGTGATACCTCTATCACATATTTTCTTATTATTGTGGTGTTTATGCATTTCTTTGTTTTTTTTTTTTCTTTTTCTTACGATGAATTTGCATTCTATTTGTCTTCTTTTTTTTTTTTGTAAAACAAAATGGCGGATGGAGAAACAGTCATTTTCTGTGATCGTATAAATAGTACATACCTACACGTGGCTTACGTTTACAATTGTCACAATAAAATAAATATAGCATATACGAAATATACATGAGACTTGTTTGTGCATACGTGTATATGTATGTAAATTGCGAGTGGGGAAAGAAAATGACAATATTATAAATATCCTTCCAACGAATAAAATAGCGTAAGAACTCGTTTGGTATGTGCATATGCGAATAGTTTGTGTTACAGGTAACGACGGAAACGGAAAGAAGATCAACAACTCGTGAGAAAGATCATTTCGAAGAGGAAGATCGAAATTTGAATTCTCTTTAAAAAAGAGAAAAAGTAAAGTAAAATGTTGATTTGGGCAAGCGGCATGTTGGCAGTGTGGTTAGCTGGTTGTGTGGAAAAAATTATATTCACGACCGCTATCGGCACTGCAATTATGACGTTTGCAAATTGACAACGAATGAGGAATACTCGTTAATTAATGAAAATGATTAAATAAAATCTACAATTACATATACTTATTTTTGTATCTTTCATAAAACAAGAAGGATAATGCGATTATAACAAATTTGAAAAAGAGAACATGTCGATTTGAAAAGCATCATTTACTCTCTTAATTAAAAAAATAAAAACCAATCTTATTTTTATATTGCCAATATTAATCTTAATTATTAAGTATTGATGGTATAATATCCATGTAAAATATTTTATTATAAAACTTTTCATTTCTAGCGCACACACATACATGCATCTAACTTTCGCTTTCTTTTTTATTTTTCAGATCCGCCTACGTATCTTTCGGTGGATTATTAATGAGGCTGCAGGGTGACGCAAATAACTTACATGGTTTCGAAATCGATCAACACATGTACCTGCTCATGAAGAAGCTTGCATTTTAGGTTAATTTATCGACTAAGAAGATTAGTTTTCCGACTCTGTCTTTTAACCCTTTGAGACACGAAACATACAAAAAATAATAATAATTCTATGAAGTTTTTTATCATAGGGTGAGACTCGAATAATCCCACCGTGCATATTATTTATGCATTAAAAAGGTGGGACACATTTAATACTGCCTTGCCTCAAAAAGTTAAACAAACTTTACAATTTTAACAAGTCATAATTATAAAATAATAAAAAAAAAAAAATTTTTAGTTGCTGAGGAAGTCCCCAGTAAGGGACGAAACGTTCAACAAGATCAAATAAATTTGTTCATCAAAATTTATTAACTGTCTTCAATTTTCCCTTTGAAACTCATATATATTAAACTTTACAATTTTTTATGGAACAAAATAAAGTTTATATCATATATCGTTATCTATCCGTTGTGTTTTTCTAACACTCCGTATTTTCTTTTTTCGTTTATTTGCAGGAAAACATTGTTTCGTATTCGAAAGAAAGGTTTCTTCTTTCCCTAATCTCCCACCCCTTCCCCTCCTTCGAAAAAGACTGTATCGACTGTTACAGGTAATTTATTTGATCATAAAATAAATGAAATATCTATGAATCTTTATGAAAATTAAGAAAGAGAGAAAGAAATAATTCGTTAACGTCACAACGGCGTATAATATCATTGTCAGAGATTTATCTATGATAGTTGATTAATTTTAACATTTACGAAGTAACTACAAAGTGGCAGAGCAATTTAAAACGGCAGATGCAATAATCAATGACGAAATCATTTCTAAAGATTTTAAGCAATGCTATTACGGTCAAATTAAATTCGCATTTTATTAATATGAATAGATAACACCAAATGATTCAAGCAATGAACGTATACCATTGTACGGTTATAATGGTATTGCATTAGAACTTTCGGAACGTTTGGCATTTAAAATGCATAGTCGGGCTATTTACACACTTAAATCTTTGGCAATGAATAACATCGATTTATCATTAACTTCTTATACGTAACGTATTATGCACTTCATAGATCAAAAATAGATCAAAATTTAAAAAGAAAATAAAAATAATGGTCATTTTATTATCTTAAACAATTTCTTCTCTCGTTACATAGAAAATGTTAATTAATAAAATTAGCATTTGCATCATTATTCCTGTTACTTTATTCGCACGTGCATACTTTATTCGAAATATTTGTTCAATTTCAATTACATTAGAAGTTTTAAATTTTTAAACATAGAACACAGAGAAAGAGAGAATAAGTAGTGGTAGCTTAATCGTTAGAATAACATGCGAAGTAAAGATATTTTTACCTTGCGCAATGATGGCATTGGAAAACGAAGGAGATGGCGGTCGTGTAAAGGTAGTTCTTCTCTCTAGCTTGTGTATAAATTTTGGACGTTCACCAAGTTCGTTCCTTGGTGATGGTCGTCGTCGTCGTCGTCGTCGTCGTCATCGTCAACGACAGTTAAACGCCAGGGAGCGCTGGCTACTAATAAACGTGCTGTCCTGTCACCCGGATCCACAAAAATAGGTGCCAGGCATGACCACACCATACACACATTTCCATCTTAGAGACTGCAGTCATCTTTGGTAACGAGTTCGTTCTTACACGAGAGAAAGAGAGAAAAATCTCTTTGAGATTATCTCTGCACGCTACCTGCAATATGTCAACCGAGTTGGTACACTTCCAGGCCACGGATATAACAACCGTATCGGTCTTTCAAATTTTAAAAGAGAACAATTTTTTTTGCTGTTTAAATAAAACTAGATAGGGGTGTACCATACAACAGAGGGAGAGAGAGAGAGAGAGAGAGTATCTTCAAAGTCGCTTTAACGAACCAAAAAGAATTATTATTTTCTTGGCAAATATTTAAGGTCGCTGCGAATACTTTTTTCTTAAGAATACTTTTTAACTGTAAGTTCGTATCTTGAAATGAAATAAACGTAATATTGGAATATTAATAAAATAAAATATAAATATTAATATAATAAAATATTTTATATTTGTATTTAGTAATCAATAATGAATCCAATCATTATTTCGGAGAAGAGCGAAAAAATGGCTGTTGTTTTTCTGCTATACTAATTCTAATGAGACAAACAGTAAATGGAAAGGAAATGAGAACTAATTTATATAATTAAACTCGTGCTATTGTTGACCTTGTAAATGAACGATAAATGAGGTAGGTGATGTTGTTCATCGTTATATATGTACTATATACTACGATGTATACAAAAGAGCTACAAGTCGTAGTAAATCTAAGATGGCCGACGATCTAATCATTATGTAACGCAATGCGCCAAGATGGCCGTCAGTTAATAAGGGTCTGATCCTAAATAGATTGGCCCAATGACACATAATTCGCTTTATCTACTCGCGGCATCACGTTATTGCGTAATACCGGTAGACACTTTACTACTAGAACTATTTAAACAAGAATAAAATAATTTATATTACAAGTTTATCTTAGCGCCAATTAATCATTTCATAAAGTATAACTACAAAAATATAACTTTATAATATTTTTGAAATTCATTCGTTACAATTTTAACAATTTATATTTACATTTATATAAATATAATTTAAATATATATTAAAATGTTACAAATGCTCAAACGTTTTAAATTAAATAATACGCTTCTTTTTGGTAATTATCATTATATGATCGTTATTTGTAAATTATTACTTTTTATTATGAACTTTTATATTTATTTTATATGAGATTAAGTTTAGTCGTTATAATAATTCGTAAACATTGATCGAATGATGTACAAACAGCTAATCCTTGTTTATCTGGACTCCAATCCAAAGCACTTATCGGTTGAGTTGAAATGGAATTGTTCTGAAGTAGGCTTACACTTCCAATAATGCCTTGCTCTATACCATCTGTATTGGTTTGCTTTCGTTTCTCTGGATAATTACTAAAAAAAAATTATAAAAAATTACTTAGACATCATGCTAATATTTTAATAATAATCATTTAAAAAGTAATTATGAGCTTTTACGATTATACTTACTATTTCCAAAGGCATAGCGTACCATCTCCACCGCCTGTTGCAAATATTTCTCGATTTTGTGGTAAATGTTTGACCATCCATACAGTTGATTTATGCGCCTAATTAAATTAGATAATATAAGTGACTACATTTCATTTTATAGTCTTTTAATTAATTTCAATTTTTTACCTTTTCAACTAAATAAGTAAAACCTTTCTTTGGATGTTGGGTTTTCAAGTCGAATAAATAAAATTTACCCTCAAGAGTGGTAGCGACTAATTTGTTCATAGGAATATCATTCCTATCGTATTCGATACTACAAACGCCATTCTTAAGATTACTTTCCCATTTAAGAGACATCGCTCTCAAATCAAACATTTTCACATCCCCATTGTCATAACCAGCTGCGATAGCTCTTTCTTCTGAGTTGTAAGAATTACCAAAGGCAACTGTCCAACAATCTCTACGAGTTTCTCCTTCTTTAGGTTCCATAATAGCTACCGGTCTATTCTTTTGTCTTGGATCCCATACCTTAACGCTACCATCTCGTGATCCTGTTACTAATTCTGGAGCACCGCGACCAATGCTGTAACCAGCTACACCAGAAATAGCATTTATTATATCGTTGTGAGCAACAGTTGTATAAAGTGGTATTGAAGGGTCTTCCAAATCATATATATTAAGTTTGCCCTAAAATAATAATTAATTATATACATTTTTATTTGAATATATACGCATAAAGATATAAATTATACTAGTTACATTAAACTAATGAATATTTAACTTACATATACACATATAGTGGAATCAGATATCGTAAAACAATTTTTAAAAAGTGCATGTGTTATTACAATGAACTTGCAATTCTATCAGATGTACCTTGAAATCGCCAACTGCTAAATGCCTGTCTCGTAAACTCGAAGCATTAAACGTTCCACATTTAACTGGATTAGAACGTTCAATATCCTTAATGTGTTTCAATTCACCGCTTGATACTTCATAAATTTGTATAATGCCGGTACCGCGAGCTCGTGAGCCCATAACCACAAACTTCGCACTGCATGGGATCCATTTTGCATCGAACAAAGAATAATCAACAGATTTTTCAATGTGACAAATCATTTGAGGATTTGATAATTTCTCCATTATTTTATTTTTTTACTTTAGTCACTACAATCTATAACTGAGTCTTTGAATAAGTGTTTAGAGTATTGATATAAACAAAAATGGACGCCATCTGGTATCCTGTGTGTGTGTTACAGATAAAATATTTCTTTCTCTTTCACCCAATATTAAAATTAATATAAATCTATTACTACCAACATCAAAATAAAAGCAGGTATCTATTATTACCAGAAATAGTAAAACAGAAATTTTTTATTATTGGACATTTCTTTAATTATTATAAGAATTCAAATTCGACAATAATTTATAAAACTCTCTCTTTCTTTTTCTCCTAATATTAGTATTAAAAACGATTTTAAAAATAAAAATATTTATATTAAATCTACCGAAAAATTCTGTCAGATAGTGTCACTTCAAGTTTCAATCCATATGCACAATGTTGATTTGAGACATATATGAAGAAGTTTGCTGGAATGACAAAAAGTCATAAGTAACGATGGAAAGTATATTCTACAATAAATATTATTAAATGTATGAAAATTGTGTTATTTGCTTTCAATTTAAAAACCGACAGAACTTTCCGGTAGACATAATATATATTCTTATCTATTATATGAAAATATAAAAACCTATTAAATATTTCTACAAATAATGATACTTCATTAATGCAAAGTGATAAATAATTTTATTCACACTCTTCTGTATCTGTATCGTCATTTTCTGTTTCCTCCATTTCGATTTCTACAACAGAATTCGGCGATTCTAATTTGTTCTTAAGCCTTTCTACGTAACTTATTAATCGTTTGTCGAATTTATTTACCTAAAATAACATATAAATAAAATTAATTGTATAATTTGTTTTTACAATGGACAAGAAATTATAATATAAATGATATTTTTTTTCTTAAATAAATATTTTATAAATTTTACAATATAAAAAATAAAAAACAACGCTTACCAACAATAAAACTTTCTCAATACCATTTTTTAAATTCTTCTGCGATAAACTGTCATCTACTTGTATATCTAAGTCCTTTAAGCACTTAATGAGCACATCCTTGTTAATTTTACTATCCGAATTAAGAATTTCAGCAAGTATAGCAAATACCAAATTATTATGTACGCAATATGCATTCATGTTGGATCCTTTGCCTCTATTACTAGTTAATTTCAAAATAAAAACAGCTACTTCGTAAAGATTTATTTCTTGAAGAGGACTAATATCGGGCGCATTGGAAATGATTTTTAAAGTCGGGAAGAATGCTTCTTCCAGTATTTCTTGATTTGAAGGTACCTTCGTTAAAAATTGTTGGAAAAAGCAGCTTATACATTGACAGAGATAAGTGTCGTCGATGTTAATTGGATTAAAATACATTACTATTATACGCGCCAACAAAAAAGAGCAATTGCTTACACGCAAATTTATAATTAATTTACAAAGTCCTTCCGTTGCGATATTTCTTAAATCTTGATTCTGTAACGATTATTGGAAAGAATTTATTACATTTCACATTACACAGGAGAGAAACTATATATATATATTATAAATGAAATATTAAATAATTCTTACCGCGTTATCCATTAATCCAATTAGAATTTTCATTATATCAGGATTTTGTATTTGACTAATAGATTGATTGGTACAAACAGTAAGATCATCTTCTTCTATTTGATTAAATAACTTATTTTTATTATATTTTTTTGATTTTGATTGATTAGCGCTATTATCGTTGTCATTTTTTTTAACATCAAAAATTTCAATTCCGTACTGTGTGAGAAGATCAAAAAGAGCTTTTAAAGTAATAATCCATATGTCCTGTTTTTCTTGTTCCAATGAAAATTGTAACAAAAATGTAAAGATATGTTTTTTAGCTATTTCCTTATCTAATATGCAAAAAATTCCCAAAGCTTCCAATGCTAATAAATGAACCTTATCGTCTGGATGCTAAATATAAATATATTATTAAAAAAAAAAGAAATATAAAATATGCATTGAGAATAGAGAAAAATAGATATATATGTATAAAATATGAAATAACTTACATCCAAACTTGAAAGGGCTATATTCAGAAGGCATCTAAGAGTAGGCACTAAAGTTTTAATCGATTTAACTCTCATCATGGAGCACATGATAGTGAGACATTTGATCATTGTTTCTGAATCATTTTTTTCTTCTTCGATATCATCGTCATTACTCAAAATACAAGGTTCTTGGTTCTCATGAAATTTTATTAAATCTTGATTGATTTTATTTTGTTGTTCCTTTAGTTTCTCAGCTTTCAAATATTCTTTATTTTTTATAGCTTCATATTCTTCTTCTTGAAGTTCTAAAATTTGTACTCGTAATCTGGCTTTCTGAATAAATAAACAAAAATATTCAATATGATGATAACATATAGTAAACTAAACTTAAAGAATAAATATATGTAAGAAATAGAATGTATATAAGAAAAAATCTTTGTTTTCAAGATCTGATGGAGCTCTTGTAAGTACATACTTGCATATTATTTTGATGTGTTTCTTCCGCAGGTACTTCTTTTACAATTTCCATAGTTTCTTTCGTTGGCGTTCTGAGTTTACTAATTATATTTGCTAAAAGATCAAGTCTTTTATTCACATCAGGTATCACATTCTCGAAATATTTAACAATGCATTCAATTATTTTTTCAGAGCAATGGTCTGTCAGTAGGAAATTTAATATTAATTCGCTTAAATTATTTCTTCCTGCTTCATCCGACAAATCATAAAATTTAATAATCTCAAAAAGTTGAAGAAGAATAAACTTGTGTGTTTGTTTCTCCCACATTTCAAACGATTTAGAAGATAACATAGTTATAAATTGATTAATATATTCGGAAAAATTTGATAATTCAGGCAAAATTCTTTCTAATGCATCGAAGGAAGATGTAGTATAAAAATGTTTAGCAACGCATCTCCAGTATAAGGAATTCTCGCTTGACAATTTATCGACTGGTATAAGTTTAGTAGTTTCATCGATTGGTAGTTGACAGATTAATTGATCCGGTGCTGCATTTCTGTAAAAACAAATATAATATAATTCATTAATAATTAACTTTAAATTTAAATATATAATTGTATTTTCTAAAATAAATGATTAATTAAATACTTACTTAAAGAGTACATTAAGTGCTAAAATAGATACATCAATTCCAATTTCTGCATCTAATGCTTTAATCAGATCTTTATATTGTCCATTGAAATAACGCAACCATGTTGGTAATAATTCAGTTTCAACGTATCCCCTAACAATATCGGATCTATCTTTAAGTCCTTCGTTCAACAATTGATTTCTTTGTTTGATCGTCAAAGATCTGATAGTTACTTTACTGATAAAATTATAAGCCATCTTTCTTACTGTATAATTGACATCTCTAATTCTATTTAAAACAGTGTGTAACGTTTTCTGATTTTTGGCCATACTCTTTAATATCGCTTTACGAACTTGTACTTTAGGATCCTTGGATAAATGAAAAATGTACATTTTTATAATAGGACAATTTTCATCTGACGGATCCTGAAGCCTATGCAAAGCATAGATAGCTTGTGTTCTAACTTTATGCGCTTTATCCAACAACCGGTCCATCATATTGACAATTATTTTGTCGCAAAGCGCATCATCTAGAAAAGCGTTTTCGCCCATTGAATTTAATAACATATTGAAAAAATAGCATATGTGAAATCTAACGGAAGGATTCTTGGCATTGTGATGCTTCAATAAAAAGTTAAATAAATTTTCAAGAAATAAAGGCATAGCTTCGCATGAATCCTTATCAGAAAATGGATAAGAGCTAACAGCAAATTTAGCAGCAAATTGAAGAGTATTCTCAATCGAAGGATGATTTTTACTCGTAGAAAGAGGTATCTTCAAGCAATTAATAAATTCCTCTAGAAATAACTCTACATCGTACTAAAATAAAGAAAAAAGAAATTATGTTAACTTTTACATACAAAATTTTATATTCGTTTAAGGGGCATACCTAGTGTGACCACCTAAAAAGAATGTGATTTTTGGGAATTTTTTTAAAAAAGACTACTGTATGAAATGTTTTAAAATTTGGAGGATATGTTTATACATTATTAGCGAATATACACTGAAATTTTCAAATGAAAAAATTTAATTTTCAGCGAGTTATTTGCTATCTCCCAAGTCACCAAAAAAAAAGGTCCACTGCTGCAGTGATTGCGGTCTTCACAGTGGATGAAATAAAAAAAAAAAATTTTATTGTTAATCTCGAAGGTATTGCCTATATAATGACCTAGAATTGTAAAAAAAAAAAATTAAAATTTAACAAAATGGCAGACTGAAAAAAAATCGAATTTTGCTCCAAAATTAGATGATTTTTGGCCCGCAAAAACTAAATTTTTCATACAATCGAAAAACTGTTAGGTCATTGTATAGAGAAACATATACGAAATAAGCTGAAAAAAAATAAAAGCGATCGGATAATTCTTCTTCGAGTTACAACTGCAGCCAATTTGAAAAATGTAGTTTTGAGAAAAACGCGTTCAAAGATAAAATGATTGATTTCTAATCCCTGAGCGGCTACTCTTTAGAAGGCTGTAATTCTAAAACTATTTAAAATATTTATTTGAAATTTTAGTATGTTATTTTTAAAGATATAGACTATCAAAATATAAAAAAAAATCGATTTTTCCAAAATTGCACGCTAGGTGTGCCCCTTAATAATATTATATGTTATTTAATATAAGAAACAACTGTTACTTACTTCTTTACTGATATTCGTTAATTTCTTTATATAACGTTTATGACAAGTTTTATTAAATTGAACATTATAAAAAATATCATTTATTACTGTAGAAAGTTTTTCATTATTTTCCATATTTGTTATTGTTTTAAATATATATCTTTTAGAGAATCAACTATAAGCACATTATCACTACTAATAATTTTTAAATGTACTACCAACTGTCACGAACTTTAGTTATTACGGTTATTTTATGTACATATTTACTTTTATTAACAATTATAAGTTATTACTGTTTAAAACATTTATCTCGTAGAAAAAACAATTATATTTTAAAATCTTTGTAACTTTTTATTAATTAGAGCGTATTGCTAAACAATTATTAATTATAAAAACGAAGAATGTACTTCAGTTTGTGTGTAATATTGTAATGTGCGAAGTTGCAGATAATGCGTACCAACGGTAAAAATGAAATTATTTTAATGTAACTATAATAATAGAGACATTTTTTTTCGTATTACAATTCACATGATCGAACTTTTGCATTTTACTAACTCTGTCATTATAACGGAGTGAAGAAACTATACCTGTTTCTCGTGCGAAGAGGAGGAACGTTTATATCATGTTTTACATATGTCATAAAAGATTTAATATTCTCTCGAATGAGCTTATAATAACATGAAACGAATCTCATTTAATAATAAATATCTGTGCAATAGCATTTAAGGTAATTAAATTGAAATTTTATATCGATTGATTATCAAGACAACTGAAACTCGTTAAACATAACCTATAAGAATATCAAATTATTTCATTATTGCTTCATGAAATTGTTCCTCAGATAAATCTTTCTTTTATATGCATATATATTATTTTTTTAATATAAATAAATAATTGATGTAACCTGTGGAAGAAAAAAATTATCTAACGATTGATTCAATAAAATTTTAGGAAGTTATATTTATATAAAAATACCTAAAAGATGAAGTTAATTAAAAAGAACGTTGACAAGGATGGGAAAGGGTATAGAAACATTTAAATTTATGTATTATTATTGCTTACTTCTCGCAATTATAATATTTCTAATTTATCATTATACATTGTTATTAGGAGCATAGGCCTTGTTCCAGAAAATACAGAAGATATGTGGCATGCTTATAATATTATTGAAGAAGGAGATTTTGTCACATGCTCAACTTTTAGGTAAAAAATAATTTTATAATATACATTATATATAGAGTATTTTAAAATATATGGATATACATTTTTAATACTTATATCTTTAAATGAAATTGCTCCTAATTTATTTCTATTTTCTTTTTCAGAAAAGTACAAATGGAATCATCAACTGGAAGTTCTAGTAGTTACAAAGTAAGAACAACTCTTACTATATGCGTTGAAGGTGTTGATTTTGATACTCAAGCGTGTGTTCTTAGACTTAAAGGTAGAAACGTTGAAGAAAATAAATATGTCAAGGTATATACATTTATAAATATATTACAATTAATTTAATGTATGTGATGAAATATGGAAAATAATCAAATGTTTTTGTAGACTGGCCAATATCATACATTAGATGTCGAGCAAAATCGAAAATTTACTATTACAAAAGAGCAATGGGATTCTATTAAATTAGAAAGGGTGGAAACTTCATGCGATCCTACTCAGGTATTATAATAATTGTTATTCAATATTATAATACGATATTATAATATTGTTATCCTTTTTTTATTTTTTTCCCTTCATCAGAAAGCAGATGTTGCCGCTGTGGTAATGCAAGAAGGTATCGCACACATTTGTTTAATAACTTCCAATATGACAATAGTACGTGCAAAAATAGATCAAGTTATACCTAGGAAACGAAAAGGAAATGTTTCGCAACATGAAAAAGTAATATCTCTAAGTAGAATATTAATTTTATGTATAATAAATGATACAATTTAAATGAAAAAGAAAATATAAAAATACAAAAAATAAACAGAAAAATAAGTAAACAAAACTGATAAAAACTATTGAAACTTGTTAGGGTCTGATGCGATTTTATGAGAGCATTTTACAAGGCATTTTAAGACATATTAATTTTGACATTGTCAAATGTGTTATCTTGGCCAGTCCTGGATTTGTAAAAGATCAATTTATGGATTATATGATTCAGCAGGCAATTAAATCTGATTATAAAACGATATTAGAAAATAAAGGCAAATTTTTATTGATACATTCAAGTTCTGGTTTTAAACACTCATTGAAAGGTAATATTTTAATATATATGTATTTCAATAAATATAATAATATTATTTATGATTTTTGATTATATAACAGAGGTTCTGGCCGATCCTGGCGTAGTGTCTCGAATTTCGGATACCAAAGCAGCGAGCGAAGTTAAAGCTTTAGAAACATTCTATTCGATATTGCAAGTAGATTCTGCCAGAGCTTTCTATGGTAAAAAGCATGTAGAAAAAGCTAATGAAGCTCAAGCGGTAGAAACATTACTTATATCGGATAAATTATTTAGGTAATGTATTTTATATAGATATATATTTAAATAATAATATATTTATATAAATATGTTTTTATTTTTTATAATTTAATATTTGTCATTTTTTTGATAGATGTCAAGATGTCGCACTAAGAAAAGAATATGTCACATTAGTAGAAAGCGTCAAAGAATATAATGGAGATGTTAAAATATTTTCAAGCTTACATGTATCTGGTGAACGTATGTATAATACTATAAGGTCATTATCTATACCTAATGAAATATTATTTGCAGAACTAGATCAGCTTACTGGTATCGCAGCTATATTACGCTTTCCTATCCCAGAATTAGAAGATGAAAGCGATGGTGATCAGTCAGAAGAGGATTAAATAATAGGTTAATATTTAAAAAACTAAATATATATATGTGTACATATATATATTTATTTATACATAGATATACATACACAATTCTGTACATATTTGTGCTAAGAGCACAGTAAAAAATATCATATTAATAAAATGAAAAACAAATTATCATTAACAAATTATCATGCTCTTATTCCTATTTTAGAATTATCTAATCTCTAATTTCAATGTTTCGTAATTTTAAAGATAATTTTATTGGATATTTTATTGAATATTTGCAACTGAATTGTTAAGAAAATAAATGTCGTTAATGAAAAATGTTTAATTAAAAGTAGAAGATATATTAAATTGAGGTTATAATAATGATAAAATATAATATATGAAAACTTGGGGAATTACTTTTTTCAGGGCTCTTATTTGTACATATTTTAATCTAATAATGAAATTTCATCATTTTTTAATTGGACGTGGTAATATTGTTTTACATAATCGTGAGCGGGAGATAAGGAATTATTATATATCTTTTGAACATGATGAACACTTCATGAGAAAGCATGGAGAAGTTCATTCCAACTATTTGCTTTATTTATTGTCCTAAAATTCAAGACTATATAAGTATATTATAATTCGTATGCAAATATCGTGTTAAGTTTATAAAATATCTGTTATTTTTTATTTGGATATTTGAATATTTTCAAACAGTTACGATTGGAAAGGTTATGGGAGCTTATGGGATATATTGGTTTGATATCAGTTTCCAGCTTACCAAAAGCATGGGGAATTTTATAGGAGATATTATTATTTGGTATGTTTTACTTATACTAATTCATTCGTTAAGTATATGCAATACATATTAAATAATTTTTGTTATTTTTTAAAGTTTGTTACAAATCATTTAATGTCTTTAATTTATAAATTGTTAGTTTTATAATAAATATTAATAGAAGTTTTTATTCTGTAGCACACTGCTACTATTTTCAGTGAGTATTGTATTTGGAACCAGTGAGATTATAAAATACCTTGCAAACAACAGCGAAGAGTTGTTACAATCTACTTCATACAGTTGGATTCTTCGACTATGTTTTAACCTATTTGGTTATATTACTATTTTATTACCAGGTTACCTTATATATAAATATGTAAGGTACAGTAAATATATACAGAGAAGTGGTAAGTAAAGCGAATAATTTTATTCATTATTATGTCATATGATTACTTTATTATATTATATTATATATATATTTTTTATTTCTACAGATAAAAGCTGTATTCCAAGATTGATTCACTCATGTTTCCTTGGACACACAGAAACAGGTCTCTTAGATGCATCTTCTTATACACCAACTACCACCAGTCAACGTACGTTTACTCAGGATTGTTTCTTACTCACTTATTGCTTCCTCGGATTGCAAATTAGTTACTTGACATGGGGTTATTTACAAGAGAAAATAATGACTCAGGTATTTAGATTTATTTTAATATTATTATTCAATTTTTGTATAAATTATTAAATCAAATGTTATGTTCTCTATAGGTTTACGAGGATAGTTCTGGTAATCAGGGCAGTTTTGAAGATTCACAATTTCTAGTATTTATAAATAGAATACTTGCATTTCTCATGTCCGGATTATATCTTATTATTAAAACACAACCACCACATAAAGCACCACTTTACAAATATGTATTTTGTTCCATGTCGAACATTATGAGCAGTTGGTGTCAATACGAAGCTCTTAAATACGTTAGTTTTCCTACACAGGTAAAAATATACTTAGTTTCATAAAATGTTCATTATTTGTAATGTTATTATAATAATCGATACTATATTCTTTGTAGGTTTTAGCAAAGGCTTCGAAAATTATTCCTGTTATGATAATGGGAAAATTAATATCTCGCACAAAATATGAATATTATGAATATGTTACAGCAATATTTATTTCCGTTGGAATGACAATGTTCATGTTAAATAGTTCCGACCATCAAAAGGGTAATTTAAATAAAATATAATACACTAATTAAATATTTATGCAATTTTCTAATTAAAAGTTAACTTTTAATTTTTAGACGGAGCTACTACCGTTTCTGGTGTTATCCTTTTAGGTGGTTATTTATTACTAGACAGTTTTACGAGTACCTGGCAAAATGCACTTTTTGTTGAATATGGTACAACCAGTGCACAAATGATGTGCGCCGTAAATATGTTTTCGTGTTTATTGACTGTTACTTCTCTTATACAGCAATCGAGTTTTCCTTTAATATATTATTTCATGAAAAAGGTAAGCAACTACTAATTTCAACGAGTAATTTTATTTTATTCCATCGACACTAATGCGGATGAATTTTGATTAGTATCCTAGATTTATAGTGGATTGTTTACTTATTTCCATTTGTTCGGCGAGCGGACAGCTATATATTTTCTATACAATCTCAAAATTTGGTCCCATTACTTTTGTAATAATGATGACCATAAGACAGGTAAAAATGAATTTATTTAAAAAATTAATAATTATTATCTCTATAATATCATTTTGTGTATGTAATATCATTACATATTATCATGTAATATATTTTCAGGGATTGGCTATATTGCTGTCATGTTTAATATATAGCCACGAAATTAAAATAATTGGTATATTTGGCATACTTCTTGTATTTGGCTCAGTATTCCTTCGAATTTATTGTAATAATGTAACACGAGCTATAAAGAGACGCAGAGCTGCGGCAAATGCTGTAAAAGATTAGGATTATTTAAGTTAATTATTACGTAAAATCTCATACGATCTGATTTTTAATAATACATTATTTTAAATACTTATACACGTCTTACGATAATAATTAGATAAGACATGTATATCATCATCATAGAATTTTTATAATTCTTATTCTTCGTGTTAGATTTAATATATTGTACAGATTTTGATATAGTAACATTTAAAAACGCTTATTACAAGTTAATGTATATATATAGTATCTTTTATTTCAATTAAATTGATCATCATAGTTCCAATACACAGAGTTATTTTATATGTCTGATGTACAAATTGTTGACTATTATAATAACAAGAAAAACACATTACCATGTTATTTATTTTTAAAAAGTATTTATTTTAATATTATTATTATATATATATATATAAATAAATAGAAATATTGATGTAAATGTTTTATTGTTAACGACATTAGAAATCATTTGCATTATGATATTGCAGTTGTACAATTCGTATTCAATGAACATTTTAAACTACATTGAGAGGTAAATACACCTACATGTGAGCAGTATTGGTCATTTTTTCATTATTATTATTACTAAAAAAAAGTTATTAACAATGTTTCTAGGTTCGTGGATTAAAAAATAAGATATTAACGTAGGGGTAATATTTAATTTACTTTCTTTTTTTATAGAAGATAACTTTATTTCAGGCAGTAGAAAATATTACCATCATACTTTTACAGATTTGATAATGTGTTTATGTTAAGAATTATGGTATTAATGTTATCATAATTCAAACTATATATATTATAAATACATAAATGACTTTTCCTAATAGCTGCTTTTAAATATTGTATGTAATTATAAACTTTGTGTTAATAATTACTTTGAGAATGGATACAATATTATATAATGCTATATTAGGATTTTAACAAAAATATATATACATATATACTTTATTAATATTTTCTGCAATTGAGTTAGAAATGCAGTTTTTATTTTATACTATCTTTGGTATCATTTTTTCTTTTCATAATCTAATATGAAAATATAGTATATAACATTCGCATCATTAATTGATTTATCTATGAAAGATTTAATAATAAGAATGAATGATATTATTTGCGTATAGAAACTTTTGAAAAGGATCTAATTAAGTCTACGTCAAACCATGGCAGAGATGCTCTGATTGTTTAGTTAAGACACAATCTTGTTCGATTATAGGGAATATACGACCTTTTAAAATCTGAGTGTTTGATAATACGCAAGATATGAAAGTAAGTGTAAAATATATATAATGAGATAGTGTATCGACGTGCAACATGCTAATGTCTCAGAAACAAAACCAATAACGCACAGATCATTCTTTAGGAGATGGAGGACGATAAATTGCTATGAGGTACATGACCGAGATAATAAGCTCCAATGCTAAAATGACTAATTGTATACTACAAAGGATAACTTCTAATTTAAGCACATAATTCTGCCAAAATAAGAAATACAAAGTTGCCAACGAGCTAGGAAACGTTAAAAAAATTCCAATAAGTATTGGTAGGCCTCGTTCAGTTAAATTTCCTTTCCTTCCCAAATAGATCCTGGCACCCTCCGTTGCTATAAGGAAGAATAAGAGCGCAAACTCAGTTAGTGTAGTACTAGTGCCCGGAGATGGCAAATTAGCAGCCTTGAAGAGTCCCATGCCCAACTCGCACACAGCAAACATACCAAAGTAAAACGAATTCAAGTACATAAGAATTTCATATGTCAAGGAAGAATTCACTACTGTAGGCATTCTAAGGAGGGTTTTCCTTTATAAGGGACAACCCTAATTATCTTTCTACGCGGATATCAATCTTCGTTTATTTATTTATTGATCCTTTTTTTATTCCAGTAGAAAGGCTCCCGGGTGTGTTGTGGTTAAGAATAACTTGTCACTTTCTCTCCATTCTGAACGTGTGCTACCTTTTAGTATCGTCGTTGTTTATTCATTTCTCTTTATCGAGATTTATCGGACCGTAACGTTTTATATACACGTATGCCTGTATATATATATATACTTTTTATTTTTTTGTAATATATATATACGTCTTTTTATTTATTTTAATCACTTGCAGAAACGTGAAAACGAGGAATGTCACATTAGATCAGTGTATATAACTGTACGTACACATTTTATTATTTCTCGCGTCTCTTTCTAGCGCTGCTTTATTTTTAACCGTTAAACCAAGCCATACAATATTGCCATAATCGTGGAAAGAAATATTATTCCTCTATCTATATACGTTTATTAAAAAACGAAAAAATAATACTAAATAACTTAATATTTTTAAACAAATCCGTTTAATTTACAAATAATTTTTAAGAACAAGGATATGCTCTTGGATATTTTTATTATGCATGTTATAGACTTACGATATTATTCCCATTTCTTATGATTATTCTCGTAAAATCCCTAGGTTAAACACTTTCCATTTAAATATCAATTAATTTTTTAATTCTAATTTTTTTTTATAAAACAACAGTAATGATAATTATTAACAAAAGTAGCATTTATTTCATGCGTATTTTTTTTTCTCCCTTTCTTTACAGGTAGATAGAATGTAATACTGGAACGAATCATTTGTAAGGATACTAAGCTACAACAGAAATGACCAATTACATTCGTCCTTTTAAAAAAGATAAAGATCCAAATTCTATTAACTGCATATTAAAATTTATTATTTTAAATTTAAATGTTATTAACAATATTCATAAGAGAAAATTTTACTGCCTTTTCTCTTTAAAATATAATTTTAAAACAATAATTTTATAAACATTGTCAATCACAGTTAAACTTCTAAAGGAGGCGCCATTTTTATTTATACACGCATTCAAGTCGTCAGTTATTATTTCGGTAATTTTGTGTAAATTATGATTACTAAAAAAGTGTATTACGATTGTAATTTTACATAAGAAAATAATAAAACGATAAATATTTCATCAGAAGAATGATAAAATTAATTTTGTAATACGTGATATTATCATGGATTTGAATACGACGATTGAACTGATGATGTTAAGGTTCGTGATTTAATTTGAGAAATATAAAATTAATAATAAAATTAATTTATCTTCTAATATTTAATATGGTTGCCTGGTATATGTTCGAAATATTAATGTATAAGAATAAATTCAAATATTCAGTCTTTCACTGACGTATTTGGTATGTGTTTAACAAAAAGGTTTTTATTTATAATAAATTATATTAAAGGATTGGATTATGATTACAAAGTTATAAATTGCAACAGGGTGCATAAAGATATGTGATTATAAGTATTATTTATTTATTATAATAAAATATTGTCAATGTTTGTATTAATTATTGTAATATCAATCACACATTTATCGTATAATATTTTATTATAAATATTAATAACCATATATTAAAAATACTAATCTCAAAAATATTCATAAAAATAGATTGAATAAATAACACAGCAGAAAAAGAATGTTAAAAGTAAGTAAAAAAATTATAAGAATTTTCAACATTTTGAGATTTGCAAGATATCAAAATGGCGGCTACACGGGAAATAAATCGAAGTTCGATATACGAAGGGAGAATCGATATAATTCGATGATAAATCGATTCGATAAGTTTAATCTCAGAAGGAGGATCATTTTTAATTTGATATTTACGATCTCCCACGAGTCGAAGGTCAGAATTAAGGAAAGATATTTTCGTCCGCTCGTAAAAGCCGATGAGAACGGGGGTTTCTTTAGCGGTACAGCCGAAGCAATTTTGATAATCGCAAGGCTCGTGGTCATAACCTTAGCCGCCATTATCTTGGCCACCGCTTTTTTAATAATCCCACTGACAAACTCTCAAGTTTTTCCGACTATCCTTCGTAAAGGTAATTTAAGATTTAACCGCATTTATCCAACTATTTTATTTCATTACTTTATACCTTTTTCTTTGGAATTTTTTAAATATTATTTTCACAATATTATGTTTATTTGTTTATTGTCTTCTTCTATGTGTTTATTCTTCTTCTTCTTCTTTTATTTATTATTCTCTCTCTGTTTAATATATTATTTATTTATTGAATTAGTAATCACATTCTTGGGTCCAACTTTTATCAAATTTGGTCAATGGATATCAACGAGAAAGGATCTATTTCCCGAAAATATTTGTAATTCTCTCGTACAATTACAACGTAATGCATCACATCACTCATGGTTGTATACTAAAAATTTACTCAAAGCAACCTACGGACCAAATTGGAGAGACATTTTTGTCAAATTCGAGGACGACACTCCAATTGGTTCGGGATGTTGTGCCCAGGTACAGAGGTAAAACATAACTTCTAATGGTTTTTCATTTTTATCTTTATAAAAAAAAAAATAAAATAAAAAACTATCTTCTAATTAATATTAGATTGTATTGCATACAACATAAATAATATTTACTTATCAGTTGTTTATCGATTCGCAGGTTTACAAGGCGTGGGTTGATCTCAACGTTCATGCAGGAAGGATACAAGAGCCTCGGCTATCGCGTTTCGTTGAAAGTAAGATAGAAAGTGATATTTTTATAGATGTGGAAAATAGAAACGTTTAATAATTATATTACCGTTTTGCAGCTATCGAATATTTAAATATGGGACACTTCTTCACTTTATTGGGTAAGAAAGAAAGAAAGAGAGAAAATGGTCTAAATGAAATTGCTTTCGTGTAACATTTTGCAATAACAATCGCAGAAAAAATATTGACCAGAGAGGAACACGAAAAGATTGATCAAATTGGTAGAAAATTGCAGCCAGTTGCCGTTAAGGTCCTTCATCCTGGTATCAAAAGTCATATGAAGTATGAAAATATATATTATAAATCTAATTCTATATATTTTTTTATTTATAAAAAAAAAAAAAGATAAAATAAGAAACTAAATATGTACATATATATTTTTTCTTTTTGATAGGAGAGATTTAAAAATAATGCGAATGATTAGTAAACTCATCACGTATTTCGTACCGGATTTACATTGGCTGAGTTTAACCGATTGTATCGACGAATTTTCATTGATGATGGAACAACAAGTAAATTGTTAACTTGATATCGTATTTTTTTTCTTGATATAAATTATAATCCTATTGGTTTAATTTTCTTTACGAAGGTCGATATGAGATTAGAAGCATATAATTTGATTAAATTTACGAATAATTTTTTGAAAAGAAACGAAATAACATTTCCTCGACCTTACATGGAATATACGCGTAACGAGATATTGGTTGAAACTTTTCACGAGGGATCACCTATATCCGATTATTTCGATTATGAAAATAATAATGTACAACGTAAATTGGCGAAGCTGGGTATTACGATGATTCTTAAAATGGTGAGTGAAATAAAATGCAGACATGCACGCACATTCGAGGATCCTTCTTTGAAATAATTTCTTACCAATATAAAGAAGAGACGCTTTCTTGTCCACCGCAGGTATTCAACGATAATTTTATACATTGCGATCTCCACCCGGGTAACATTTTGGTCCAGGAAGTAAAGAAACCGACATCTACTTTTCTTGATCTTTTTTTGAGAGTCATTAGCTCTGATTATACGGAGAATGATCCGAGACTGGTAATACTCGACTGTGGTTTGGTGGTATCTCTGAACGACCGATGTCGAAAAAATCTTCGAGATGTCTTTCGATCGGTATTGATGGGAAATGTATGTATGTGTGTGGATATATATATGCGCGTGTCTGTGCATTTGCATATATAATATTATATTCATTATCGAATAATACTTTCTGTTTATTTCGTTACAGGGTGAACTCGCAGCGGAATATATATTGGAACATACATTACACATGACACCGGATCCAGATGGTTTTAAAACTACGATGAACGAAATAGTGACGAATCATCTTAAAAATCATACCAATTTAACTAACGTAAGATTTCTTTATTAATCGTTTGTATAAGTCAATTTATTTTCTTTGCCAATAACTCGCAATAGGAAAAGAAAATTATTATTATTATTATTATCATCATCATCATCATCATCATCATCATCATTGTTATAATAATATAAATTTAAACGACAAATTATAAAAAAAAAAAAACAAAAAAAAAAGGAAACCCGCGCACGACAAATAAATATAGTATAAATTTAACAATAAGTTGAGTAATATCGAAGTAAAGGTGCAACGACTTTTTCTTGAGCGGTTGTTTGAACCTTTGCAGGTGAATGTAAGTACCGTTGTGTCTGAATTATTTTCCGCGATGGTTCGTCACCGGGTGAAGCAGGACGGATCCTTTAGCAGCGTGATTCTCAGTATGGTAGTGATCGAGGGGCTCGGCCGAAGTCTAGATCCTAATATCGATATCTTTGCCGAAGTACTTCCATTTGTTTTCAATAATACCGTGTGCGGTTAAAAAACAATCAAACGAAAAGAAAGGGAAGAAGAACGTTCCTGTTAATTATACATTGGATGTTACAGTACGTATTTATATAATTTCATTTTTTATTCAATATTATATCTGATATAACAGTAATACGTTGACGACGTTATACGATCAGATAAAACAGATAAAATACGTATATTTTATAAACATTCATTTATTTCATCGAATAAAAGATATAAAGATACGGGTTGTAATTTTGTAAAGAGTACTTTTTTATTTCTCTCTCCCTCTCTCTCTCTCTCTCTTCTTGATATAAAAACGATGTAAATAACCGGGCTTCGAAATTCGAGGTTTAATGACACACTACTACCACTACTACTACTACTAGTATTACTACTACTAGTACTACTATTATTATTACTACTGCTACTGCTACTATTACTACAACTATTACATGGCAAAGGATTCGCGCGAGTTCTCGCGTGGGGAGGATGTCGATTTTAAAACGGGCTGCGGGAACGTGTAATCGCATCGGACAGAATTCCGAAGAGTGACCAGTTGTCCGTGATCGCTTCCTGGTTGGTCGACCGTCTTCGGTTGTGTCGGTATTCGTGTATCCCTCACAGATATAATATACTTATGTCTACATACGCGTTTTACGGACATGTATCGGTTGCTCCTTTAGTTGGTGTATGTGAACACACAAGTAAAAGACGTTTCTTATTTCTCTTCCTCTCTCTCTCTCTCTCTCTCTCTCTTTCTCTCTCTCTCTCTCTCTCTCTGTATTGGTATATACATTCGTACACCTGTTCCGATAGCCGTGTGTCCGCCTGGAGTGCTACGAACAAGCTTTCGCGCATGCTTATCGAACAACTTCGCGGGTTCTTTGACAGAGATATCGAATTCCATGACCGAATCGACATTTTTTTTCTCTCGATGCCAACTGAAAGTACGTTTTTCGGTACGTTTTTATTATCGTTGTTATGTGATATGATATTTCCTGTTTGCTTCTTTCTTTCTTTTTCTTTTTTTTTGTTTTTTTTTTCTTTTCTTTTTTTCTTTTAAGGAAATCGAAAGAAATATCTAATCGACAGGTGTCCCGTTTCGAATCTTTTGCTTATTTTTTTTTTTTTTTTTACTTATCCGATGAATTTTAAATGCAACTGCATTGTTTCTTTTTTTTTTTTTTTTTGACTAACAACTGTATCATTTGAGAAATAATTTTCAATAAAAATAATTGTTTGAACAAGAGGATATGCAAAGAAAGGAAGAGAGAGAGAGAGAGAGAGAGAGAGAGAGAAATAATTATACGATAAATCTAATATTTGTAGAACTCATTTATGAGAACATACCGTTATGTTTGTATAATTAACCCTGCATAACGCCATATGTAACTTCGAAATCAATACTCTTATATCTGTTTTATTAGATTTTTGTTCTTTTTATAATTACGATTTGGCGTGAACGTCTTATTGCGTTTTACCATTGTTTCATAATCAAGCAGTTTGTTTATGGAAATTTGGAGTTCTTATTATTCAAATCGAAGTGAGTGTTTTTCAAATGAAGCGTACAAATTTGTTTTGTAATATTATCTCGCTTTTTTTTTTTTTTAATTATTCTTATAATAATTATCTTTTTATTTCTTTTTATTATTATTAGTATTAATCATCATTATTATTATTATATTATTACGTTTATGTATAATGTAACTTCGTAACTTCTATATCACACATGTCATACGTGAAGATATAACGATAACGTATCAAGTATTTTGAAAAAAATATTGATATCAACGTTATATTCGATAGCATTTCATTTATTTCGTTGGATTATGTTCGCTTTGTCTATCGAGTATTATTATTATACTTTGCTTTGATATGCTTTCGAGAGTCGCGACAAAAAATAATGATTTATTTTGCAATATCATTGAAACAAGAGAAGGAGAGGGAAGATTTCGTCTCTGTTTTTTTTTTCAATTTAATTTTTGTATTTTTAAACCCACGTATAATGTTACACAAGTGCTTAGCAAAATGTATATCGAAATACCGAATTCTTTGATAATTACGATCAAGTTAAATTGCTTGAATTTGCAATCGTAGAAATTTTAGCTCTTCCGCATTTATGTTTTTTTTTTGTCCGCTATTTCTGCATTTCCGTGATCAATATAATTTATTGCAATATTAACAAAACATTAACAAGATATATACCGTATAATAAATATCATACATGGGTTGGTTACAAATTTTGGAGCCTGATACAACGAAACTATTATTTTTGGTCGAATTAACTTTTCATCATTCTGTCTTTTTTTTTTTTTTTTATATACTTTAACAGGTCAAAATAATTATTTTAGAGTTTAGCTGGTTATTTCACGTTTTTAACACGGTAGCATATATACAATATAATAAATGTATATTGTATGTATGCGTATATATATGCATATACTAAAGAAATAAGTGCATTTCGCAACGTAGCAAAATGTCAGACGATGTCGTCGAGGTCGTACGATCTTACAAAGGGCTGCTGATTCTCTCCTTCTTCTCAAGTTTAGCCTCGTGCGATATTATTTGGTCTATCGTTAGGACCAAGCCGTGAAGAAGGAGTCTCGTGTAAACGCACGTGCGTCGGCAACGATCAACCGGGGAGACCATTCTTTTTCTTCAACAGACGACCTTCGATCGATTTCATTGTTCGTATATACGTCCGTCCATTGACGTTTTAAATTGTACAACCAAGTTGCAAGGAAGATAATGGACGAAAACAATGGTTAATCATTTGATTCTAATCTTTTTATAGAAATTTCAATATAAACGCAAAAATATTCCTACAAATGTTTTGTATAAAATTGTATTATACATTTGATCATGATCTACGATTAAATAGTTTCTCACGAAAAAAAAACAATTTATATAAATTATTATTCATACTTTAATGGGGATAATTTTATAATTGGCCATACAAATATTTCAAATTTACGTCTAATTAAGCAATTACAAATGGTTGTATGATTGTTACAATATCAGTGTTCTTATGATTCTGTGTAATGACATATGTTAAATAGTTAACAATATTTGATTATATACGTTCATATGTGATTATACATTGAATCGATTTATATGATCAATCGGTACGATTACATTTCCATATAGTTAAGTAGAGAAATAATTACGCGCGTGTGAAAGAGAGAGAAAGAAAAGAAAAGAAAAGAAAAGAAAAGAAAGAAAGAAAGAAAGGAAGAGAAAGTTGAGTTACATTAACAGATAAAATTCTTAGATATTCGTTGGAGAAAGAAGAAAAAGAAGAAGAAGAAGGAGAAGAAGAAGAATCGGATCCACTTAACATTTCGTTGGAGGCGACCTCGTGTGTCTCTGAGTCTTATTAGGGAGCCTGCTGTAAAGTCCAAGAAGATACGAGTAGCCTTCTTATTTGCTTCACGTGAGACACGCACGCTCATTTGCCCTTTTTCATTCTTTTATTTATAGCGCCCATTTCGTGGCCGAGAGAGAAGCAGATGTTAGCGAATCGTTGTCATCGTTGTCATCGTTGTTGTCCGCCGTTGATCCGTCAAAACCCGAAGAATCGCGACACGAGCTTTCTTACGCATTCGATTTATCATTTCTAATCGCATATTTTTGTCATTTTTCTCAAGGGACATCTTGTGCAAGCATCCTTAACTCTTCGGAATGATAACACTTACTTTATTTATCTTGTATTTAGAAAAAGAACAGAAAAATATAAATTACGTAACGTACAAACTTTTTTGATAATATAAATATACCCCGTGTTGTATAGATATTAAATATTAATCTTTTTTTTGGATATAATATATATATATATATATATNATATATATATATATAAATTAATTAATTATTTTGAAAAAAAGAATAAAAAGTTTAGAATTTAATTACGAACAAACGGTAATCTCAAATCTAACCAATTAAGAGAAGAACGAAAGGAAAGTATTCTATCGTGTTTGACGTTTTATCGTCTTATAAGAAACTCATTCATTCTTTTTTCCTTACTTTGAACGAGAAAAGGGAGTCTTACATGTATAAAAAGATAGAAAAAGGAAGACAGATTGATTCGAAATCGAATGCAAGTTAAATTACCACCGTATCCGTACGCGTGAATTTATTTTTCCTTGCTATTTGCGCGTGCAAGTAAGAGAGACAGAGAGAAAGAGAAAAAGATAGTCTTTGGCTTTCGCGTTCGGCTTATCCCAGTTTATTAGGGGGAACAATATGGAATGTACGCCCGTGGGATTGCGATTTATATCCCCGGTACTTGCATTACCTCACGGTATCGCAGCACACCGGAGATTGCAGTAAAGCATCTCGGACAGTGCAACGCTAGAGACCCTGCCTGAGGAGAGTTCATTGGGTCTCTCGTATTGGATCCATCTTTTTCTTTCTTGTTTTATGTTAATCTTAAAAACAAAAAACCGAGATGTATGTATGTTGCTACCTAATCATTATTTTTATTACAGATATACAAAAATTAGATTAGACAGGTTATGAATAGATCATTCGATAAAAGTATCGCGACATCGAACGTTCTTTTAACAATCATTGATCGGCCAAGCCAATAAACAGTAAACTGCCTAGAGAAAGGAGCAAGGGGAAGAATTATTTGAAAAAGTTGAGAAATCGAAAGATAATCGAGTAGAGATTTTGCGTAACCCGACAGCGTCCTTCCTTCGTTTATTCGTGCCCTTCGAATGGCCTTGAAGAGGATCGAAAGGTAAAGGAGCAGAGCGCGTTCTGCCGCGAAAAAGTAACTTCGATCTTCCGCGCGAAGAAGAGTATTCTCTACTTCAGAATCTCTTTTAAGATTACTCTTCCAATCCACAGCCTACTCGGCTCCCGCCCCACCCCCATAACCACCTCATCCACCTCCTGATCTTCCTCATCCTGTTCCTTTACTCCTTCCACCTCCTGATCTTCTTCATCCTTTTCCTCTTCCTCCAGTTGTACCTTCACTTCATTCTACTGTTGGAGCTCTTCGTATTCAGTGACTCTATACTCTCTGGTACGAGAGTACACTTCCTCGTATACGAGCATAGCGTATCTTTCGCGGCAACGCATGCCCCGTCTCGACGTTGCTCTCGCAACCGTTTTATTTCGTTCGATTCAAAACGAGTTCCAATCGACGTCTCATTCCGCGTGTTCACGCCCGCTATAAGCGCGATAGAAGCTACATCATTTCCCTTCTTCTCTTTCTCTCCTTCTATCCTATACCTCCTAGTCCCGTTCTATGTATATGTATTAGAATATATGTGTCTGTATATAGTAATATACTCTTACGAGTAGTAGTATCTGGTCGCACGGGCCCGCGCGCGCGCTAGAGACCACCTTCATTGCCTTCTTCGTCATCAACACTATATTACTGTTACAAGCTTCGGCTTGTGTCGTAATATGTTTATTTGATTTCCTTTTTCCTTTTGTTTGTTTGTTTGTTTATTTGTCTCGTATCGTTTTCTTTTTCTTTTCGAGGTTTCGTTTATTGAATTTTATCCTATACCAGATCATTTTCTATCGTAGATCACATTGCGTTTATCGTGTTGCGAATAAAATCTTTAATAGAAATTTATTTACAACCTCGCTTCTCTCGTTTCTCTTCCGGTATTGTTTTCCTATCGTTTTTCTTTCTTTTTTTTTATCGCAATCGTAACGATTTTTTTAACGAACCGATCTCGCGCGTAGTATATTATTGTTTTTATGATTAGTTGACGGATTTAAGTCTGTTCATTTAGTTTGTTAATTTTTTTCGAAGAAATTTATCACGCGTACGGTTCACGTGTCTTCCGGTCCGAATTCTCCTTTTATTTCTCTCGAATGCTTTTTTTTTTTTCTTCTTTTCCCTTTACGTACAGATATATTTTTTCTTTCTTTCCCCTATTAGACAAGCTACTCGAGAGAACTTGTCCTTCTACGGATATTGCATCACCTCTATCCTAGAACCGTCTAGAATCTTAAGATCGACTTCTTTCGAGGGTCGGTTCCGATTCGTTGGAGCGACTACAACACAACCCCTTTATAGCTGGGAAGGACACGATAGAAATATCAAATTTCGAGGTGGTCCTTCTCAAAGAGAAAGGATCAGGTTTACGTTTTAACCAAATAAAAGATTTTAAAAGGAAGAATCTATCGATTCTTCGATAATTTAATCTAGAAGACATTTCAAAACTATATAATATAATATTATTAAATAATATAGTAAAAATCCCAATGATTTATTATTTATCGATGAAAATCAAGTTAATTCGATTAAAAAATTAAGGCCCAAATCCGAAAACAATTTTTCGTTGACAAATATTATACCGTTGATAACTGAAAATAATAAATAACGTTAGAATATAAATAAATTTAAACGGATAATTATCGGATGGTAAGAAAAAATGAAGAAAAATACATGAAATAAAGTAAGAGAAAGATATTATAGAAGGAAAGAAAGAAAGAAAGAGAGAGAGAGAGGAAGGAAAGAAGCTTTGAAGCAATACGAAGAAGTGGTATTCAAACGTTAGGGGCTATCGATCTTTGGTGGGGTACAAAGAGTGCCATCTGTCGGTAGTTTAATGTCTACGATCATTCGACCAATGAACGAACTGGAGAGTCCCCCACTCGTTCTTCAGTTATCCCCCACCAGACGTGGCGGCCTGTCGCGTCGCCGTGCGTGCTCTCTTGTCCTCTTCGTCCTCGTCCTCGTCCTCATCTTCTTCGTCCTCGTCTTCTTCTTCGTGTCCTCGTCGTTGTCGTCGTAGGGTCTGCCAGGGTAACGACGGTAGATGTAAACACACAAGGAGAGAGAAAGATAGACGGGATAAGAAGAAAGAGAGAGGGAGAATTGGGAAGGGGGGGGGTGGGTCTCGCTCTCTCTCTCTCTCTCTCTCTCTCT